GGACGGGGACATGGGAGACGGGACAGGTGCATGGGGATCTGGGACACCAACACGGGGGACCAGGACAGGGACGTGGGGGACAGGGGCAGGTGCATGGGGGTCTTCAGCACGAACATGGAGGACCAGGACAGGGACACAGGGACAGGAGGTGGGGGGGCCAGGACACAGACACAGGGGAACAGGACAGGGACATGGAGGGCTGGGACAGGGACACGGGGGACTGGCACCAGGACAGATGCATGGAGGGACAGGGGACAGGGACCAGGACATGGGGGGACATGGACCAGGATGCAGGAGGACCAGGACTGTGTCCTGTGCAATGGGACCAGGATGTGGAAGCCCAGGGCTGGGACATGGAGGACTGGGACAGGGATGTGGGGGCACTGGGACCAGGACAGGTGCATGGAGGAACTGGGGCAGGGACAGGGAGGATCAGGACAGGGACAGGGTGGCAGGGACAGGGAGGGGACATAGACACAGGGGAGAAGGACAGGGGCATGGAGAACTGGGACAGAGATGTGGGGGGGACAGGGGGGTGGGAGGACCGGGACAGGGACATGGGTGACAGTGATGTGGGAGGACTGGGACAGGGACATAGGGCAACAAGGGCACTGGGACCAGGGCAGAGACAGAGGGGGGACGTGGGCCAGGCCAGGGGACTGGCACCAGGACAGCAACAGGAGGGACTGAGACCAGGACAGGGACGTTGGTACTGGGGCTGGGACAGGGGCACAAGGGGACCGGGATCAGGACAGGGGCATGGGGGAACATGGACCACGGCGGGGATAAGGGACAGCGGCACTGAGGTCAGGACAGGAGGATACCGGGGTCAGGCCAGGGAGATGGGTGACTGGCCAGGGACAAGGGGCAGGGGGTACTGGGAACAGAACAGGGGTAAGAGGGGGCTGGGAACAGGACAGGGACATGGTGGGACTAGGACAGTGACATGGGCAGAACCAGGACAGAGATGGGGACATGGGGGTACCAGGACAGTGACATGCGGGACCTGGACCAAGACAGGGACATGGGGGTACTGGGACCACCCAGGGACATGGGGACACCACACTCAGGACAGGGATATGGGAGTACTGGGAGCAGGAGGGGGACAAGGGACACGGGATGGGGCTGCGCCACGATGAGGGACGCGGGGCCATGGGATCTGTACGTACAGAGGGGACCAGGACGGGGTGCCGGAGCGGGGACGTGGGAGTACAGGGATGGGGACAAGGGAGACGGGGTCGGGTCACTCGGTCCGTGGGGCGCAGGAACGACGCGGGGGGAGTCC